GAAGTCACGGAAAACTCTTCATCACAGCAAGAACAATTAAATCCACCTTTGGTAGATCAAGTGCTCTCTCTTTTCAAAACCTATCTGGCCTCCCCAACTCGACGAACAAAGTAAGCAGCTCGAAGGAAAGTCGTAAGTCGTTAAGGAAGCCGCCGAGTTCAAATTCAAGGTTATTTGTAAAACACTTCAAAGACACAATAGCCCTCCTGAACCCATCAACACAACCAAGTAAAACAAATCTCCAGTGAATAAGCGTGTGGTTAGAGTCTATGTGCCACATGTGATTAGGTTTCTTGACATTATACAGGCGACGCTGAATTGATGATCTTTGCATAATTGCGCGATTAACTAAAGATCAATAGTCCGCAAAACTTGCCGTACTTTCCATCGTTGAATAAAAATCCCACGACCTCTTATATAGGACTCACCTGAAAAAGCAGTCAGACGTAACACACCCCTTGTGTTCCACTCAGTTCTTCATCTAAAACATCAGTGAAAGAATCTTCAAATCCATTTTAAAGCCTTCTCTAAGTAAAGAGTTTTGGGGGCTTACACCAAGACACTGTGCTATGGTTGTCCACTACATACCAGTGTTTCTAAGAACCTCGATACGGTCCTTTGTAATGATGCATCTTGGTCTCCCACCAGAGCTTTGACCTTTGGAGGGTTCCCTCCAAAACACACGGCATGCATCGATGTTAAAGCTCGTGATTTTGTTTCCCAAATCTTGATGAATCTCCCAGAGGGAATGAAGAAGAGTTTGAAACATGTCCTTCAATACTTGACAGCTTTGAGAGTTGGCGAGAACAAGCGAAATTGCAACAATAATTTGGACTTGCCCTTCCAAGCGGTCGTGCAGGTACTCGATCTACCTGAGGTTATTACAAGCTTTGTTCTGTTCTCTTTGCGACACAGTCTTGAAGAGACAAAAGCAAGTTCTCCAAGTCTTCATCGTTTCTTCTCACCAATTTAAAATTCCATAAGAATACAACCCGAGTAAGCAGCAGTGTAAACATTGTTACAATGAAACTTCAGAACGCCCACCCTTGGTCAACTTTTTTACATTGGGGAAGGGTTGTTAACCAGTACTCCCTTACAGTCCGCCATTTTGGTAAATTACCCTGATCAGCATACGGGCATCTAATAGGCCCTTTGCAGCTAGAGGTCACGTGCTTGGATACTGCATAGCAACACAAAACTGAAGAGCAAGCGCTCCAGTAAACAAACTCTCTAAGAGGTCAAGCATATCTGGCTTCAGACAATAGTTTCTGTTCATTACGCTCAATCCTTTTGCAATATTTACAAAAACTGTAAGATATTTACTAAATCTCTCGTTTGGACTCGATTTTTGGATGGAAAGCACGATAATTTTCTCGAAATCGTGAAAAAACAATCATTAACAACCCGCTCGACGGCTATGAAACATGGCGGCTTCGCAAGGGCTGTACTTCAAAAAATATACTTTTTTCTGCTTTTTTTAGGTATTGGAATTCTGAAGTCTATGAAGATAAAATATTAGATCGAAAATAGCAACTGAGTGGAATTTTACGGCATTTTACGCCCGGTTTCTTACGATATTATGAGAGTAACTATGCGTTTGCTGCACCATTGTTATGCTTCCGGTGAAAGCGTTGGTAGACCAGGTTCAAGAAATATGCATCTTGTAGATGAGTTGTTTTTGCTTTGTATGCGACTCAAGCTTGGTTTATTTGAGCAGGACTTAGCACACAGGTTTCAGATACACAGATCATCAGTTTGCAGAAAAGTGATCATATGGACTAATTTTTTTCTTGGGAGTCAAGTGATCTGGCCATCAAGGGAAGATGTCAATAGCTACATGCCAGAAGGTTTCAAAAGGCTTTATGCAAGCATGCGTGTTCTAGTAGATTGTACTGAGATTTTTGTGCAAACACCTATCTCACTGCAACTTCAGTCACAGCTTTATTCTACTTATGAAAGTAACACTGCACTAAAAGGTTTAATAGGTATTACCCCTTATGGAGCTATTAGTTTTGTTTCTAGCCTCTACACTGGGGGGATAAGTGATAAGGGAATCACAAGGTGCAGTGGAATTCTAGATTTGTTAGAGCCTGGGGACTCGGTCATGGCGCACTAAGGGTTTGACATTGAAGATTTGCTGAGGGAGAAGGAGGTGGAGCGAAATATCCCTCCATTTCTAGAAAGTCTGGAACAATTCTCTGCCCAGGATGTTCAGAAAACAAAGAGAATAGCAAGTTTGAGAATACATGTTGAAAGAGCAATAAGGAGGGTTAAAGGATACCACTTTTTTGGTTCTGATGTCCCATTGTCTACACTGGGTTCAGTCAATCAGTCACGCATAGACTATAGCCTGCCTCCTTACAAATTTCCAGGGCCCACTAATCTTATCTAATAGTAACAATGAGCCATAGAGAAGTTATTGTGTTATTTATATTTTATTGGGAATGTTCATACTTAACCAAAACAAAAAAATAACTGATGATCATTGAACTGAGTGGAGTGCAACTTGATCTGATATCAAACACAAGTGAACAAAATCACATGATGGCATAGTAAGAGTGTGATAGGAAATCAAAAGTTTGATATCAGACCAAAATTTTACGACACTGAACATTTTCTGGATTTATGTAAATGAAGCTCCACTTTGAAGAGTAGTAGCAATGTCAAACATAGGAAATAAAATTTGGAAAATATTTCATTTTGTGTGCATTATTTGCTCTAATCTGATTGGCAAACTGTATACAATCCTGCAATATGATTGGTCGTCTAAATGTAGTGTGGAAATTGTTTTGCTAACAAAAAGATGCCATTCAGACTGAAAATAGTCGGATTTGTGCTCGAATCATACAATTTGAACCAATCCAATGACAGGATTTGATGGTGATTTCAAAATGGATATAATAAATTGGAATATCTGGGAAGTATAAGTACAGAGCAACCTGTGTTTTGTTTGAGAAGTCAATATTCATCATGTATGATGGAAGGGTGCATGACAGTTAACCACTTTCTGAAACTGATTCTGTGGAATTGTTTCCTATCTACATTTTGTCCTAACAAAAATAGCCCCTGCTGGCTGAGTTTTAATGAACAATGTAATATAATGATGGTGTACAATGACTAAAATTTATCAATATTAAAAGTACTGTACCTCATAATAATTAAAAGTAACATGCCTCAAAGCTCAGTTTCCCTCCAGCTTAGCTCTTGCAAAACTGTTTATCTCTCAGAACAGACAATGTCTATGGACAAATATGACATTGTTTTTGTGGTAAATGGAGGTTATTATTTGTATATACTGTCATGTACCACTAACCAAACATCCAGTCTTAGTAACATATAATAGTTCATTCCCCTTCTACTTTACAGAGGAAGATCAAACTTTTTAAGACAAAACTAGACAATGGGCATCAATGGGATTTTAGATAAAAGTAAATGTCACATTTAGACAATAAACTCTGATGGCGGGTTATTTACACAAGGTCTAACTCAAACTGCCATTTAACGCAAGCAGTGGGCCTCAGTGATTCTCTATACGAGGGCTGCTTTTAATTATAAATGAATGTCCCTCCACTATTAGCTTTTGCCTTCTTGACAGTGTTCATAAATGTTCAGATAAAAGGTTCAGCTAAATTGAAGATGGCTGAGAGCTTGGTTTTGTTGAACAACAGGTAAACTTTGTTTAAATAACCAGCCCTAGTGAAAAGCTTCATGTCAAACTGTTCCAGCTTGGAGCAGTGTATTAATTGAGACCTGTATGATAACTAATTTTTAGAGATCATATGAAGAACACATTCTAAATTACAGTCAAACTAAGTGAAGCGTACCCCTCAAGATTACATTAATGAATTGATCATTTGGATATTGAACCCACCAGTCGTTTCAAGAATGTAATAATGAATTGATTATTTGATTATTGAACCCACGAGCC